TGGGTACCTTGGGGGCAGTGGTGGAGACTGGGTAGTCATCAAGCCACCCCTGCCTCTGCACCAATTTTCCCAGGGTCCCTGGGGATAAAGCCCTTGGGCCAGGGCGCTGAGAGAGGATTTGTGGCCCAGTCTAGCCCCTCATCTGTGGAGCTGAGGGATGGGGCCAGAGAAAGACACATGTGAAAAGCCTGCAGTGGGCAGTGGGCGGATCAGGAGTGGAGAGGGGCTGGGAGAGGCAGGACTGGTAGGACCTAACTGCAGGAGGAGCTGAATGGATACTAGGGAAAGGAAAAGCCTCATTCATCTTCTAAACCCCTAAAGTCCAAAAAGTCTGAGCGGGGCATGGTGGCATATGCCTGTAATCCCATTACACAGGAGGCTGAAGCAGGAGGATCCTTGTGTGTTCAAAACCAGCCAGGGCAACAAAGTAAGCTGAAGGCTAGCCTGAACTAACTACATAGTGAGACCTTGTCTCAAAAAGACCAAAAAGACCAAAAATAAAAAATAAAAAGTCCAAAGAATCTGCTAAACCAGGCATGGTGGTGCATGTTTGTAATCCCAGCACTCAGGAGGCAGAGGCAGGAGGATTGCTGAGAGTTCAAGGCTAGCTTGGGCTACAAAATAAGTTTAAGGCCAGCCTGAACTACATAGTGAAACCCATCTCAAAAAAACAAAAACAAAACAAAACAAAAAAACTGACTCAGGGTGTTGGGAAGCTTCATTCATTCACCATGCCTGCTCAGCACCGGGCCGTGTTGTAGGCCTCCGGTGCAGCATGAAAAAATTCCTGCCAGATGTTTGACATCCCAAAGGCAAGTATCTTTTTGTTTGGTTTTGTGTTTTCTTCTTGTGATACTTGGGATTGAGCCCAGGGCCTTTGCACTGAGTGAGCTATAGCCAGCATTTTGGTTGTTTTGTTTTGTTTTGTTTTTTGAGACAGGGTCTCACTAAATTGCCCAGGATGGTCTTAAACTTGTTTTTTTTTCTTGTTGTTTATTTGTTTGTTTTTGTCTTTTTGAGACAAGGTCTCGCCATGCAGTTCAGGCTGGCCTTGAGCTTACTTTGTAGCCCAGGCTGGTCTTGAACTCACAACGATCCTCCCGCCTCAGCCTCCTGAGTGCTAGGATTACAGGCGTGCACCACCACGTCCAGCTGGTTTTAAACTTGTGACTCTTCTGCCTCAGCCTCCCGAGAGCTGGAATTAAAGGCATGTGTTACCGTGCCCAGCTTTAAGATCTGGCAGCAGGTCTTAAAATGATTCTATACATCCCAGGGTCAGGGATGAATAAGAGGAAGATGCAGTTTGGGATCCTGAGGGAGTGTGGCAGAAAGGGCAGAGTGTGAGCTCTGGGCTGAAACCTAGATCCAGCATTCAGTCCTGCTACTGAGATCCCCGACATTGGGAGAGTCTTACTGGCTTTTCCTCGTATATAAAATGAAGTTTACCTCCCTTGCCTCGGGTTCATGTTACAGAATTAAGTACACGAAGTTCTGGGCGCATAGTAGATATTCAGTGGTATTACTTTCTTTTTTTTTTTTTTTTGTGGTACTGGGGATCAAACTCAGGACCTTGTGCTTGCCGGACAGGTGCTTGTGCCGCTGAGCTAAATCCCCGGCCCATACTTTCTACTCAACAGGTTGGTCCCACCAAAGGAATAAACACTAGCAGATAGGTCTGTTTCTTTCTCTTTTAAATCCTAGTGAAAAATTCTTGGCATAATGTGACGTCCCCACTGTTCCTACCTTAAAGGTGCAGCAGCATTGGGTACACTCCCACTGCTGTGCAGCCAGCACCGCCACACGTTGCCAGAGCTTTGTTTTATTTTATTTATTTATTTACTTTTGGTACCAGGAATCAAACTCAGGACCTTACGCTTGCCAGGCAGGCGCTTGTGCCCCTGAGCTATATCCCCAGCCCCAGAGCTTCATTTTAGAAAACCAACCCTGCTTACATCCTTCTCCCCAGCCCTGGCTCCCAGCATTCTGCTTTCCATCTGTATGTGTTGCCCACTGCCTGTTGTGTGCTTCATGTAAGGAGGATCTGTCTTGGTTAGTTTTCTCTTGTTGCTGGGACAAAAATACCTGATGCCCAAAATTAAGGAAGGAAGGGTTTATTTAGCTCACTTTGTGGAGGTTTCAGTCCATACTTGGCTGGCTGCAAGGCAGGGTAGCACATGGCAGAGGGCACCAGTTCATGGCTGTGGAAAACAGCAAAAGCAAGCCAGGCGTGGTGGTGCACACCTGTAATCCCAGCACTCGGGAGGCTGAGGCAAGAGGATCATTGCAAGTTCGAGACCAGACTGGGCTACAAAGTGAGCTCAAGGCCAGCCTGAACTGTGTAGCAAGACCCTTTCTCAAAAAGACCAAAAACAAACAAACAACAACAACAACAAAAACAGTAAAAGCTGCAAGAGCGAAAGGGAGGAGTAACAGCAGAAAGCAAGCCTCTTTCCCTCCCTTACATTGTGTGCAGGCTACTCACCCTGCTACGCCCAGTGCAGGGCGGATGTAACACTCATACCCATAATCCCATTGGACCACAAGTCAATCAGAAACTCTAGAATCCCACCCCGTGACTGCATGAGGGTTTGGGGGCACATCTAGACACAAACCATAGCAGAATCCTACTATAATTGTCACTTCATTTCTGAGTGACAGCCTAGTGTCCCCAAGGTTCATCTGTCCTAGCAGGTGCCAGAATGTCCTTGTTTTTCAGTCTGAGTACTGTTGCATGTGTGGATATACTGCTTTGTTTTAGTTACTCATCCAGCAGTGGGTCCTGGGTCCCTCCCACATTTTCACTCTTGTGGGCTGTGCTGTTGTGAGCCCAGTGTGATAATAGGTCTCCGGTACCGGGCTGTCACTTCTGTTGGATATGTCCTCAGAAGTGGACTTGCTGAGCCCTATGATGATTCCTTTTGTAGTTTCCTGAGGAGCTGCACACAATTCATGCACTTAAAGGATTGTGTCTTTTTTTTTTTGTACCAGGAATCGAACTCAGGATCTTGTGCTTAAGGACTGCATCTTGGTGGGAAAGTGGAAGCAGTGAAGTCCCCAGGGAGTAGTTTTAAAAACAGTTTTGTGTGTTTTTAAATTATGTAGATATGAAACTTTTGACATTAAATTTTCATTTGCACATAGATAATGAGTAATGGAGATTGTATAAAATGTAGAGCCAGCCGGGTGCACACCTGTAATCTCAGTACTTGGGAGGCTGAGTTTGAGGCCAGCCTGGGCTACAAAGTGAGCTCAAGGTCAGTCTGAACTTCATAGCAAGACCCTATCTCAAAAAGACAAAATAAATAAAAATAAAATAAAGTGTAGAACCCCTCCTGAGGGTAAACAGAAAGTGGTTACTGTAGCTCAGAACAGGCATGTATGAGGGGGTACTCCTACCTTAGCACTCTCCCCAACATCAAAAGAAATGTCCTGGTCATGGCTGCTAGCTCCTTTCCTCCACTTATTGCAGACAAAATAGGGAGCACCCGTGTCTGGGGGCAGGGCACACCTGTAATCCCAGCACTAGGGAGGCCAAGGCAGGAGGATCGCTGTGAGTTTGCAACCTGGACTACATAGTGAGACCCTATTTCAAAAAAAAAGGAGCACTCACTTGCCAGAAAACTTCACAGGTTAAATGCACAGGTTGGACACATCTTGCTTCTTGACTCTTGGCTGATGACAGAGATGGGCGCTGGGCTCTGTCTAGACCAGTGGTTCTCAGCTGCAGTGAGTTTGCCCCTTGGAGACGTTTGGCAGCGTCTGGACATTGCGGCTTGTTATCGGTGAGGGTTGCTGCTGGCATCTCGTATATGGAGACCAGAAACATGCCACAGTGCACAGGACAGCCTGACAGGGTTATCCAGCCCATGTTGTGACCGCCCTGCTGGGAAACCCTGAGCCTGTCCTTAGCCTTCTGCTCACATAAAGCTGCTGTCTCAGCCAGACCAGGAGCCCCGTCCCGCCTGCATCAACAGTATGCCTTCCACCCGAATCTTTCTCCCCACTTCCTCCAGGTCAGAGCCCAGCTGCAGTTGTCACACGGTCCTGTGAGGTGCCCTGCCTTCCCCAGCCATCCTCTGACCTCCAGGGGACAAGCCAATAGTTTGGCACCTGGTTGGCTGTGGAAGGTGAGACTTTCTGTCATTCCAGCTTGACTAAAGTACTATAGAGCCCATGTCGATAGGATTTAATTTGAAATACGAAGTGTACCTGTGGGCACCTCAAACCTAACCCACCCAGGCCTGTCCATGGCAGCTTTCCTGCCATCGTGGGTGCAGTGTGGAGTCACCTCTGTCCTCTCACAGTAGTTGAGCACCCCGGGGCTCAGCTCCAGCTCCACTTAGGGAACCACTAGCTGAATGGACTCTGAGCTGAGTGTAGGCCTCAGGCTTAGAGGAGAAGCAGTAAGATACAGGGCGGCACACAAGAGTGGGCATTTGGTCTGATCACTCCCCTCCAAGAGAGCCCAGGCTGGAGACTGCATCTCACAGTGTGGGTGAGACATGCCGTTTCCGCTGCTCGGATAGGGGCTGTTTCATCCCTTGGTACTGATGATGGTAGAATTAGTGGTGAAAACCATCACAGCCCATGTAGGACCCAGCATGTGGCAGGGTCAGCCAAGGTGCTTTCCACACTGGTTCTCTCAGCCAGCTTTCACGGCAGTCCTGGAGGAGGTGAACAGCAAAAGGAGCATTTCCCTAGCACCCAGCTGATAAATGGTAGAGATCCAAATCCTGGGCTGTCACCTCGCTGCCTTGAGTGTAGCCATGTTCCTCTGCTGGTGCTGGCAGAAGACATTGTGGCTCTGACACTTGGGGACCAAGAGCGACCCCACATCACCTCACAGGAGAGGTGGCTGTGCTAGGGCCTTCAGGATCTGAATTATAAATCAGAGCCCAGTATCGCATCCGACTACTCTGCCGCTGGAGGAACAGGGGCCTGTGCGGGCTTGACCCTGACCCCTGCAGCTGTCTGCCCTCCCTCCGTCTGCTTCCCTACAGGTCCACTACATCCTCCAGGAGGTGGTGATGGGCGGGATGGTGCTAGAAACCAACATGAACGAGATTGTGGCCCAGATGGAGGCTCAGAGCCGGCTAGAGAAGTCGGAGGTGAGTCTGGGGCCACGCACTTGCTCTGCTGGGCAGAGGGTCCGGGCAGGAGGGGAGTGTGGGCACCTTTGGAGGTGGTGTCTGCCCACCTTCTTTCTTCCTGGAGTCCATCAAAGCTGGATGATTCACAGGTCATCCCTGATGGTTAAGCAGAGGGCAGAGAGCTCTGACCTGGGGGCTCTGGCTGATGTTTGTGGTTTCTGATTCCTCCTCTGAAGGCGGTGTACTCCCTGGAGGGACCTGCAGTTCCTCTTCCCACTCCCCAGTGGTTTTCAAGTTTGTGTGCTGTGTGAGTCCGATGTCCCAGGTAGCCACTGCTTGTGGTGTCTTTCAGCCCTTGGCTGCCAGTTTCCTTACTTCCGGTTAGGTTTGTAAAAAAACTAGTATGATCGCATCGGGCTGGGCTTACAAAGACTGAGCCCAGCACACTGTCCGTGATGCTGGGCTAATACAGAACCTGAGGTAGAGGGGGGAGTTGATCCTCTAAGATCTTTCAGTCCCCCAGTCGTACAAGGGAGCGGTGGTGACAGACACATGCCTTCACAAGTCCAGAAGGAGCAGAACAAATTACCCCTTAACTGTCTGAGTGACTTAAGAGTTTTTTGCTCTGCGTAACGGAACCAGATCTTGGGAGTCTTCTGTGAGAACTGGCAGGCCGCCGAGGAAGCTTTTCCAGACCGCAGCTCTCGGGCAGCTTGAGTTCCTTCAGAGAGGCAGGGTTGGGGAGCTTCGGGCTTAGGAGTGAGTCAGAGGCCAGGAGTTTGGAGCCAGAGGAAACAGTCCTGCTGGGTAAGGGTCCTGAAAGCAGTCAGTCAGGAAAAAATGATTTTGAGAGCCTGTCCACTCCTGCCCTCTGTCCACTCTGGAGTGAACACGGAGGCTGGACTCGGACCTCGGTGTCCTGCCACATGACATTTCCAAAGCCGGCCTTTTCCATCCTGCGTTAGTCAGCAAGCAGTTGCTCTAAAGCTGTGATGTTTCTTTTCCTTTTCAGAATTTCCCCGTGACGTTGCCCTTGTCTACAAGATAGTCTCTTGAAGCCGGGCGTGATGGCACTCGCCTGTAATCTCAGCACTCGGGAGGCTGAGGCAGGAGGATCGTTGTGAGTTCAAGACCAGCCTGGGCTACAAAGTGAGCTCAAGGCCAGCCTGAACTGCACAGCGAGACCCTATCTCAAAAAGACAAAAAAAAAATAGTCTTTTGAGGAAAGGGTTTGGTTTTGTTTGGCTTCATAACCAGAAAAGTACCCTTGGTACCTCTTCTGCCTTGGATAAACCATCTCAGGTTATGTCAGCAAGCACGCACTGGGCGCTTTCCGTGGACCACGCACCGTTGGTCGCTGGGACTCTGAAGCCGTGTGACAGGTGCCCCAAGCCCACCTTTGAGGAGCTCGTAGTCTGATATGAGCACGGGCTGTGGACCACTTGCCGAACCCCATCGCCTTAGACATTGTTTTGTTGGCTACCTTTGAGGAGCAAGGAGGAAAAATTAAAAGTCGTGTGTGTCTGTTTGGAGTTGTTCTCGGTCTCCTTCATCTGTTGTGTGTTTGTAAAGCATCAGCAGAAGACTACGAGAGCGTGTCTCCTACTCACCTCTCCTTTCTCCTCAGGGCGGCCTTTCTGCGGCCCCTGCGCGGGCTGTGTCTGCGGTGAAAAACATCAACCTGCCTGAGATCCCAAGGAACATCAACATTGGCGACCTGAACATCAAAGTCCCCAACCTGTCCCAGTTCGTCTGAGGGCGAGGCTTGGGCTAAACTGGAACCCTTTAGGACGAGCAAAGCCAGGCAAGCTGGAAGCAGAACCCATGGGCACCTTAGTCAAGCCTCGGCCCTGGTACTTCTCTGTGTGGGAGTTGTGGAGCAGGGTTCCACACACCCCCAGCCCTCTGGCAGCGGGGAGTCTGCACCATGCCACCTGCACCTTAGCTCTTTCCTGGCCTCCCTCCAGGACTGAGCTTGTTCTCTGACTCTTCCTCCTCCGCACCAGAGCTCCTGAGGGCCAGCGGGGAGGAACCGGCCCTTCTGTGGATGTAATGGGGGCAGGGGTGGGATTCCTGAGGCCTGCAATCTCCTGCTGGCTGTGCCAGGGCCCTTTTACTCAGAATCGTTTTGTGTACCAAATCTCTTTGGTTGCCTCCTTCTGCAGAGGACATTTTCCCCTCCCTGTGGTCCGGGTTCTGTCCTCCTGATGTTTGTGTGCAGGAAGAATCCACAGCGTAAGCCTGGTGCACACCACCATACCTCTCATCGTGCCGGAGGGGTCCTCCAGGGTAGAGAGGGACCTGTGTCTGTAGGGTTTAAAATACATTTCCCTCCTGGGAGCAGAGGCTCAGTTGCTGTGTTGTGAATGAGGAGTCCCCCATCAGTTGGGAACCCGCTGCCCCCGGTCCTGGGTTTGGAGCGTGAGAGCCTGAGCAGGGGCCGCCATGCAACTCCTAGACCTGCAGCGCACCAGCTGTGCCCTCCCTGTGCTGGACTGTGGGCACATCCAGTTCCTTCGGGGACCTTCCAGGCTGCGGAGACCCAGAAATGTTCACATGTGATGAGACGCCTTCTGTGGCTAATGTGGAGCTCAGACTGCCACTCACACTCGGGCCTCTTGCTGCACACCGTCTTGTAGGCCAGGTCTCCAGGCACTGAGGTCACAGACTTGTGCCACCGCAAACACTGGCTCCTCAGGCCTCCTGATGTGTGGCAAAGCAGGTCCAGGACAGTGCCCAGCAGGACCATGCGCAGGGGCCACAGAGTGGGCAGTTCTGAGCAGTGCTTCCCGTGGTTTGTGTCCATTGCTCCCTGCAACCTCTTATCTTTGCTCTTCTAGGTCCTCAGCAGTGACCACTTTTTGGACAGGTAACAATAGGCAGCTTTGTGTGGGAAGAAGGGGAAGATAAATAGATAGCCCTTGACACCAGATCCCCTTGTTCGAAGGAGTTGATTTGGGGGTTTTTTTATTTTTTTTTTTATTTTTTTATTTTTTTGGTTTTTT